CTTTAAAGTCATGCAGGGTGGGGGAGTTAAGTGACAGCTACTCCACAGCATTGTATTTTCTTTTTTTAAATATATCTTTATTGATTTCAGAGAGAGGGAGAGGGAGAGAGAAAGATAGAAACATCAGTGATGAGAGAATTGTCAGTGATTGGCTGCCTCCTGCACTCCTCCAACTGGGGATCGAGCCCACAACCTGGGCATGTACCCTGACCAGGAATCAAACCCCAATCTCCTAGATCCTAGGTTGACGCTCAACCGCTGAGCCACGCCCGGCCGGGCCACAGCATCGTATTTTCAAGTCCAGACCCTGAAGCCTGACTGGGTTTGAATCCTAGCCCTGCCACTTAGTAACTACGACTATGGGCAGCTTTCAGTTTTCATCTGTAAAAAGGGGTGTCATAAAATTACAGCCAGAGGGACGACGAAGGTTGAAGGAGGTGATGCATAGACAGTGCTTGGAGTAGAGCATGCGAAGAGCTGGCCTGCTCCGTCTGTGTTAGCTATGAGTGTTGTTGTGAGGCAGTGCGTGTACAGTGCTTTGTGTAGATCTTGGCCCAGGGGAAGGAATAAATGTCATACTCCCTAAGTTTCCCCCACCCCTCAATATGAGACAGTCATCCTGGGCCAGAGGAATGGTATTAGGAGGAAGCATCAGGGGGCCTTTCAGAGTTGGAGAATCAAAATACCTCTGAGGTGGTTTTGTTAGGAAGCAGGAGGAGAGCAGTTCCTCTAGCCAGTGAACTTGGTGGGGCGGGGGCCAGATCAGTTTTACTAACCACTGTATCCTCACCGCTCAGCACAGTACAAGCCCCAACGCACCCAGGAGTGCTTGCTAATGACTGGAGGGCTGCGTGCTGCTTATTGGGGGAGGGAATACTGACTACATTTGAGATTGAGGTAAGAAGTTGGAGACATCAAATTAATGAGAGTAATTAATAGTTAATAACTAACTTATTAAATTTAATGTTAATCAAGTTAAATTTAATATGTTAATTAAATTTAATACGTATTGTTCCCGTTCAGTTCATTGATACATATTTGGAAACTATGTTAAGCAGTGAAATAAAGAATTCTTGTGTTTCCTATTACATAATATGGAGGTATGGAAGTACCTTCCTCCATACTTATCACAGTGATGAGGGTTAGAAAGCCTTAAAATGCGCCTCTGCCTTTATTCCGAGACAGCGAGGACATCCTGGGGGGAGGAGCAGCCAGAGCTTGCAGCCTGCCCTCTGGTTGGTACCTTCTGTGTGAATCAGCAAGTGGGGTGATACATCCCTCCTATGGTTACTCCGCCTGCCTCACCTTCTCTCCTCTAGATGCATCGGTCTTTGCCTGTCTGTTCTCTGAGCACACCATGCTTTTTCCTAACCCAGCAGTGGCCTTGCTGGTTTCCTTTCCTGGCCTGTTTTCCCCTGTATGGTCACATGAGTCTTCCTAGTGGAGAGACGTTCCCTGAGCGCTCTAAAGTAGCACCCACCTCTCTCCATCACTGTCTTGTGCTTGGTTTTTCTTTAGAGCATCGATATCTACCTGGCATCATCTATCTTTGTTTGATTTTGTCTGCCTTCCTCACTAGAGTGACACATTGCCTGGCTTGTAGGAGGGACTCAAAAACATTTTACTAAATTGATTGAGTAGATATTGTAATTACTTGAAGACAAACCAATCTTGGAAAACTTCCCTGGATCAGATTATGATTCTTCAACGCACGAACCAAGATGACCCTGCTTAGAATATATTACATCTAATACTATCAAGGTATATATAAAAAGAGGTTCCAGTTTATGAGTGTGTGAGGGAGAGAAAAATGTTAAGTGTTCTTTTGTTCCAAAGGTTTACTTACAAATTGGTTGCTTGAAATTGAGAGCATATTCTAAAAAAGGATTCTTTTATTGACTCAGAAAAATTCCTACCTCAAATTCAAGAAATTCAGGCACACATGGAGAAAATACCTTCTGATAGATGACTCTGCTATTTTGTTTCTATCCCTTGTTTTTCTAAAAAAGATTTATGTTAGTTTACAAGAATCATTTATTCATTCAAGTGACAACTGTTTTACGTCTCCTGCTAGGCACTGAGTGCAACATTCAGTGAGGTGTACACTGTCTATCTTCATTGCAGTCTGACGGGAGGCATGTTGAACTCGTAATTATACAAATAATTACTTGAAATTGTGATAAGAGCTATGAAGGAAAAATAAGGAAAGGGAGAGGGTGGTTCTCTGTGGGCAGGCCAGCCTACCTTCTGCTTCTCGAATTGCTGATTTTCTAGAAACGTTCAGGCAGTTCCCAGCCATAGTGCCGCAGGGGAGGTGCCAATAGCTGAGAGGCGAGGGGAGGCCTTGGAGCTGGCCGCATAGGGATTGAGGCCTCCAATTTTAGTTGAGTCCTGTTCTAGTGTGAAGGATACTAAAGTAAACAGAAAAAGATTTTCTCAACTAGGTAAATGAGCCCAAATGATAAAGCATTGGCCGAAAGCAGGTAAGTAAATGTGTAGGAATTTTCTTATTTCTCTCTCCTTTGGCAACTCTGAAGTCCTTTATATGCACAGGTATTTCACAGATTTTAATATACCTGGTCTCCGACTTACACTTGAGTTACACATTTCCTGTGGGAATGATCACTCCTGCCTTAAGCGCCATCCATCTCCTGCCAACATTTCTGTGGACGCCTGGAGGTTCTAGGGCAGAGGTGCTTGGATTATATCCCAGCAGAATCTTTTTTTTTTTTTTCCAGCTTCATTGAGGCATAATTGACAAATCTGTAAGACATTTAAAGTATACATCATAGTGATTTGATACACATGCACATTGTGAAAGCATTCCCACCATCCAGTTAATTAACATAGCCATCACCTCTCACATTTGTCCTGTTGTTTTTTGGTGAGAACATTTAAGTTCTACTGTCCTAGCAAATTTCATTCTGTAATAGTGTGATCAACTATCATCACCATGTTTTACATTGGAGCCTTAGACCATATCCAGCAGAATCTTAACCGGAAACATGACAGTAGTTTATGAGTTTGGGCTTGGGTCAGGCAGACAAGGTTCAAATTCTGGCCCTGAGCAGCGTAGTTCCCCTAGGCCTCTTCCGGTGTGTTTTTGTGTGTATGTGTATGATTTGTGTGTGTGTGAGGGAGGTGGGGGGCGGGCATGCTCTGGGAGGAGGCACTGACAGTCCCTGCCTCCTGGTCTGTTTGGAATGAATTCTATCATGCATATAAGATGTACGTGTTAAGCTGTTGTTAGTATTTGTGGTAGTGCCTGGAAGTATCAGTTTAGGTTAGCTGACACTGTCTTCTCAAAGCTCCTAGGGAGGTTAAATGGTCTCAAATCCTTTAGAAACTTCGTCTAGGATTCCATCCGAAAAAGGGGACAAACACTCCCTCTTACTGTGCTCAGTGGCCGTGTGCTGATAGGACTCATAACTCTGGTTAGTGCGTGTTAATGTTGCTTAATTTATCAGTGTTAGAAATTATTATTATATAGCCTAGGGTACCAACTACCAATTTTATACCTTTCTTCCCTTTGGAAAAACATTTATTCATGTTTCTAAAATTCTAGTTTATGGTTAAAATTTTTAAAATGGTGGCACTATATTTAGAAGTGAGAAATTTTTACACTTTCGGTAATTAAAAATGCCAAAAGGTAATTTTCTGGGGCACTTTTGGTATTCCCATGATTTGGAAGGCATTTAACTGTGTGTAGTGATGTTGCCGCTGGGACCAACAGTGAATCAAGCAGGATGGGTGCATTTGTGCTCCTGGGGCGTATACACTGTGGACCCTGCTCTGCCCTGTCCTGGGAGTGAACCCAGGCCTTCAGATGCCTGCTTTTATACGTTCAACCAGGGCGGGCCAGACTGACCTCTATCACGACCTCGTTGCTTTGGGACTGACTGCTCTTGAAGCAGCCTCTTGGTAGTTTTTTAAAAATGGAAATGCTGGGAGTATTCACGTTAGCATGATATTCTTTTCTTGGCACAAAACATTCCTAAAAACTACAAGAGCTTGATTGTTGTGGGGAAATTAATCTTTTTAGCTTGGAGTTTGCTTTTTCCTATGTTGGTTTCTTTGAAAGTCCTTGAGAAATGTTTCCCTTTGCAATGAAATAACAGTCAGGCCACAAAACCCATCATTCTTAGGTGTAATGATAGATCAGTTCTGTGGGGTGTGTGTGGTACCTGTTAATAGACATTTGGCTTTCCTTTGATTTGAAAGTTATTTTTAAAATAACAGTCATGGTTTATCAGTTGGCTCAAATCTCCCCTTTCATTCCCTTACATACACATCTAATAGTAATCTTATTTCTTAAAGTTACAGTGAATTTTAGCATAAACTTTGGTTAGGAGTTGTGTAAAATTCTGTCTTAGAGACTGATATTGGGGACCCTTTGCTATTTAATGGCTTGGTAGATGGTGTGAATCGCTGTTTCCTGGAAAGGTTCCACTTCCCTGGAAGGTCCCATGATTTGGAAGGCATGGTGGGAGAAGTCAGGTGGGAGAAGTCAGGCTCCGCCAAGGGGTGTTGGTGGAGAATAAGAGCCTGGATGGGGGGGTCCAGTTGGCCATCATGGCCTTTACCATATGTGCTGAAAGTGTTCATTTAATAGAGAGTTCGATTTTGAATTTTTAAATGTTCTAAAATGCTGATGGTAGCCTTTGACTTAAAAGTAAGCGTAAGCTTAAGCTGCCAGATTCTCTGGGAGTTTAAAGCAAGATGGTGCTAGCAATGTACATACTTTGAAAATGGCTGCAGGTGGCTGGCACAAAAGAGATGAACACAGACATGCTTGAAGGTCAGGGTTTCCTTTGGAGACTCACAAACAGGCATCAAAGCAACTTCTGAAGCGCTTGACATCACTGTCTTGGTCTTGGTTTTGGTTTGCCAGTTTCAGCTTTCAGTTACACGTTTGCATATTTGCTTATTGGACCAGAAAAAAAAAATGCTAGCTGAGTTTTCTTCATTTTGCTGTGGTCCTTCTGCTTCTTGACTTGCAGAACGCTCCTGAGCCTGTGGCAGCCGCTGAGACCCTGGCCGAGGTGCCTGAACACGTGCTTCGAGGACTTCCCGAGGAAGTGAGGCTTTTCCCATCTGCTGTTGACAAGACTCGGATTGGTGAGTAATGGGGTCCGAGAAGGGAGTGGGGAAGGGATTGCAGGCTGCAGCCAGGCTTCCTTTGGGGCGTTTAAGATAGGGAGCTCACCATAAATGCAGCAGAGTTACACTGAGCTGGAAGATGATGTGGTATTCATGTGCTTTGGTCAGTAATCCAGGGTGGACATAGGTCCTGGAGTGAAACCAGAAGCACCTGCACACCCACTGTCCTTTGTGACCCAGCCTGAGTATCCCCCTTTCTCTGTGTCCCTGGGGCTGTCCTTCCCACACAGTGGATTGCTCCTCCTCTCTGACTTTACCGAGGCTTGAGTGTGACTCTGCTGTTACGTTTATTTTGTTATTTTGCACTTGTTTGCACATCGGTCCCTTTCATTGCTTGTGTGTCCCTTCATTTCTGTCCCCAGTACCTGACGCTTTACGGACCTCAGCAGATACGTGAATGAAGGAAGACCTGAGTGTATCCGAGTGCTTCGGGCTGGGATGTCTTGTGTATTACAGGCCATGCTTTTATGTGTTTTGTCTCGTTTGTGTTCTGCTCATTGGTTGTAAGGCTAAGGAAGTAAATGATAAAGGTTTAGTTCAGCTGCAGCTTTGGAATATATGGAATATATCGTTTATATCCTGTGTCCATTTTCAGAGATGCACTTCTGGTACCCAGTTTATGTGTATCTATGTGTGAGTGAAATTTTAATACATGCTTTTTCTCATTCTCATTGAGGACTATTCATTGAGTAACTTGAATATTTAAATTGTGTCATTCACATGGAAATGTTTGATATTATAGCTCTACTAATTGATTATGAGCTTTGCTATAGAGCGGGATTCATAGCAGACTCACAGAAAAGTGGAATTCCTATGTCCTAGTGGAACTGGACTGTCCGAGACGCCACCCTCCTGTTCATGAGGAAACTGAGGCCAGAAGATGAGGGGCCTGTTCAGAGTGATGTTGTCAGGGAGAGCTGCTGCTGGGCGCCGGTTCCCTCGCCTCCAGGTGGCCTCCTGCCATTTTAGCCATGGGTGCCTCCTCTTCTGTTTCCCTTATGGTCAGTGTAGAGAAAATAGAAATATAAATACCCCCAAGAATACCACAGAGCAGAATAAATCTTGGCTCTTTGAAATTCCGCAAAGTGAGTTGTCCCAGTCGCTAAGTTTTTAGGAATCTTAGTGAGGAGAGGGTTTTTCACTTTGAACAAACAAACTTCAAAAATATTTATTAAAAAAAACTATATTTCTAACCCTTTATAAAAGCAACTCATGTTTATTGGAGATTATTTGAAATCTGTAGAAAAGTAAAAAGAGTTTAAAAATATTTGTGGTTTCACTACACTCCTATTTTTTTCTTTTTAATTGTTGTGATTGTGCTATTTTTGAAGTATTTGTGATTGTACTGTCTTGGTAATTTTACATGTAAAAATTAAAAACAAGCAAATATAAAACACTGTTTCCTGCTATGAAACGATATCGGTTCTTTACAGGCTATTTGGGAAATACAGAAGAGAAAAAGCACCATCGAAGACTTGATTTCACTTGATTGTAGTTGATTTAACATTATCGTGCTTTTAGGTGTCTAGCCTTTTAACTGTTTTGTGAAACTGAATTGATTTAGTGCTTCAATCGTTTTTTTCTTTTCTTTCCAAACCGAGAAGAGTGGTAAGAGTCTGAGTCACAGCACCAGATGGTGGCGGCTCTGTGAGACCTTGACTCTTGAGTTTGGCAAAGACAGAATTTAGATTCAAGAGCTCTAGCACAGGAAGTTTTTTTTTAATCTTTTAGGAAAAAAGTCACAGAGGCAGAAGAAGTGAGCCAGCTGGGCTGTGTGGACTCAGGAAACAAGTTACAGAGGCAAAAGAAGGGCCCTTGGAGCTTAGGAGAGAGCAAAGGTCCATGCCCAAGGAAGAGAAGGGGGTGGGGAGGTGCAGGCGCTCCCCAGAGAGAGAGTGCACTAGTGCTTCAATCTTTAACCACGTACGTTATAAAAATACTGGTTTTATTTTCTAGGTGTCTGGGCCACTAAACCAATTTTAAAAGGCAAAAAGTTTGGACCATTTGTTGGTGATAAGAAAAAAAGATCTCAGGTTAAGAATAATGTGTACATGTGGGAGGTAAGAAAGAACCCAGCTCTTTACCTATCAGAGTTCTCTGCATTTTTTAAAAAAACTGTTCTATTCTTTTAGGATTGACATTTTGAAATTAAAACAGCCATTTCTTTAAAATCAAGACTTTTTATTAAGGAGGAGAAGTGTTTCCTTGGATACAGACTGCAGTTTACATTTGTATTTTGAGACTGCTTGGCCGTCCTCAACAATAAATGTCAAATCCACTCTTTACATTGCCTCGTTCAGGGTGTTTGTGTTGTAGCCAAGACTTTCGTCTGTCACTTTACAGGCTTCCAAATAGATACCATAAAAGACACCCCAAGGTGGCCACAAATAAAACAGTTGAGGCCCTCTCTGTATTTTAGAAAGCCATCCGTATTGCTGGGCTATTCAGAGTTGAATGCATCTAGCACACGGCACATTTATATGGTGCTTTGCACTTCTCAAAGACGCATACTCAGCTCGTTTCATGTTCTCCCAACAATCCTGGAAGACAGAGCAGAACATGGACACCCTCCTTGCAGAGGGGAAGCCATTCAGAGCAGAGGTCAACTGCCCCTCCTGGCGGGGCCCAGATGTTGAGTGCGATGCCGATGCGGAACTAGAACCCACGCCTCCTACAGACAGGGAAGCAATTAAAGATGTTTCGTTGGTTCATATCCTACATTGAGCTTTGTGACTCTGGCTAAAACCCTCGATTTTAAAATGGAGAGAATAAATAAATTGAGATAGCTGTGAGGACAAAATACGTTGTTTTTGTTTCCTGAAGAGTTGCATGTGAATTCACCAGTTTACATGGAATTTAGTTCAGATCAAGTCCCCCCTGCAAGCTCCTCCCGTCCTGACAGGAACTCAGTGGTGTGACTCCTTTCCAAAGCAGGTGAAGTTTTTTGGTGGAGAGGAAAAGCATTCCTACCAGATTGTCTTAAAATGGATCACATGTTTCACAGGTAAACATGTAAAAGCCTAAAATTAAAATATGCCTAGGAAATGGCTGGACACTCTTCAAGAAGTTCTGTGGCATTTGTGCGTTTGGAGTATCTTGCTGTCTTCCAGTGCTGTAAGCAGTGTTTCAACTTGAAAATTCTAACAGTTTTTTCTAGTAATTTTGAGTTTCTTTGTTGTGAATCCATTATAATAAATCTAATGACAGTAAACCCAGGGGCTTTAGGAAATGAGGATTTACCCTGAGAATAATTACATTATGCTATTTCACCACTTTTGAGGTAAGAGAGTACTGTATTTGTAGAAGAACTGCCCAGCCAAAAAATGCTATTAAAATGCATTTGAGTGATCACAGATGTCTTCATTACAAAATTATGCTCCAAACTACATTTTTAATTTTTGAAGTTTCCCAAGGGAAACTAACAAATATGCTCTTCCAGGTTAGCACTCACCTGAGTGAGGATGTCAGGGACCCAGGAAACGTGTGCTCTAGTTCTGTGTGTAGAATGCTAAGCATGAACAAATGCCACTCATTGCATCTAAGTTTATGGCACCTATTTTACCCAGCATAGCAGTTTGATATTGTGGGCATGTTGTATAAATTATTAATGGTGCCTTCTGTCCATTAAGCTTCATTTGTATTGAAATTCATACAAATTCATAGTGTGAATTCATAGTAGCTTGGTGAAAGTGGTGATTCGGAACCATGGCCTATTAGAGACTCGACTTCTATAAACCCATTAAACATTCTCATGTTAACTTAAGATACTTACGCTTACATACTACCACAGTTTGTGACTCCTATGACATTGCCAGTTCTTGTGGGTCAGGTTTAAAGACTTAGTTTTTGTCAGGGCTGGCTTCTCCTTCCTGCAGTTGAAAAAAAAAACCTGGAGGGGGTTGTGGGGCTGGGTGAAAAAGATGAAGGGATTAAGCAAAAACCCCCCCACAAAAAAACCAAAAAGCCAAATTCGTATACACAGACACAGTATGGGGATTACCAGAGTGAAAGGGGGTAGAAGGAGGTAGAAGAGGGAGGGGAGAATAAGTGGTGATGAAGGAGACTTGCCTTGGGGTGGGAACATACAGTGTGATATACAGATGATGTATTACAGAATTGTACACCTGACACCTATATAGTTTTATTAACCAGTGTTACAGCAATAAATTCAATAAAAAGGAAAAAAAATCTGGATTTCATTCAGATAGTTTGCACTACAAAGGTATATATTCCTACAGAAACCTCTGACCCTTTTGCTGTTAAAAATAGGTATATAGGATATACGTGAAGGAGTGGCTTTTGGCAAAGTAAAGGAGGCATAAATTATCATGTGCTTCTTATAAAGAGGAAATAAGCCAGGTGAAATGCAGTATTTGTCCATTAATTTAGTTCACCCGTGGCCTCATCCTCAGACTGGCATCAGTCAGAGTGCCTCCTGTGAATGCAGTCTCATCCCCGGCATTGGCTCTTCAACTAAAGCCCCTTACAAACAGTATCCTTTAGCAGCCAGGCCTGTTGCCCCAGCTCGAACTCCCTTTTAAGGCTAATCAAAGACACTGTTAGGTTGCTTTTCTTGAGCCCTTGATTATCTAGTGCAGTCTCAAGTCCTCTTAAGCTTTCACCGAAAACATTCTATTAAATCAGAACTAACAGGAAGAAACAGTAGAGTATCCTCAGGGTGAGTGCACAGAACAGTCACATTCTCCAAAGAGGGTCGCATCCTTTGATCAGCTTCTGGTGGGGAACTGCTAGCCCGTGAAATGCGGGCCTTCGTGTAATGAATGCCCCTGACCACCCCACACCCGCTGAGCAGTCTGCGGGATTCTGAAACAGCCTCTGGTGAAAGCCCTGCAAAGTCACTTCTATGGGGCTCAGGTTGCTTCTGACGGACAGAACTTTTGAATTGTTTTAATAAGTCTTTTTTAAAAAAATAGGCTTTTTTAGAGCAGTTTTAGGTTCACAGCAAAATTGAGCAGAAAGTACAGAGAGTCCTTTATAACCCCCTCCCTCCAGCCTCCCCCACTGTCAGCATCCTGTACCGGAGGGCTTCATGGGTTGCAGTCTGTGGACGGCACTGACATCCGTATCGCTGCAGGCCCTGGTTTACATTAGAGCTCACTCTTGGTGGTGGTCAAGCAGCACGCGTAGTTTTACGCGTAGTTTTGTAACATGCCTTTTTCTTTCAGTATGTTATGGATTCATCTGTGTCAAATACTTGTTTACATCATTATTTCTTACGCTGCTTAGAATTCTGTTGTACTTTCCACTGTTTAACCAGTTGGACATTTAAATAGTTTTAATTTTTTCATGACATGTATATATTTTTTGTTAATCCTCATCAGAGGATATTTTTTCCATTTATTTATTTTTTTAGAGAGAATGGAAGGGAGGGAGGGAGAGCGAGAGAGAGAGAGAGAGAGAGAGAGAAACACCGATGTGAGAGAGACACATCTATTGGTTGCCTCCTGCACACGCCCCGACCAGGGCCAGGGATCAAACCTACAACTCAGGTATGTGCCCCCTTGACCAGGAATTGAACCCATGATCCTTCAGTGCGCAGGCCGATGCTCTGACCACTGGGCAGCACCGGCCCAGGCTTTTTCATGATAGTAACAATTCTTCAGATACGGAACTCACTCTGTATACGTATTTACTGACTTGTCTGGTTATCTTCTTAAGGTAAATTCCTAGAAGTATAATTGTTAAGTCAGAAGTTACTTCGTACATTTTAATCTTCGGTAAATTTTCCCTAACAGACCTTTAGAAGGATTGTACTAAATTTACATAAGTATCATGGGTGCATATTTCTTGTTAGCTTTTTAAAACCCAGTATTGTTCATCTTTTAAATAGGTGTCTCCCTGCATCGTTGTAGATGGGCACTGTAGCGCCCGCTTCTGTTTGCGTGTTACTCAGGCAACAGTTTTGGGCCAGGAGGGTGGAGGGAAGTAGAACTGCATTTCAGCTGAAATGGGTAGAGAGATGATGTCTATAATGAGAACATTTTAATGTTATTTTTAAAATAATTTTTTTCCTTTATCATCACTTTCAAATGAGGATAACAAGCTCCTGGTAGAGTTGCTTCGCTACAGATTAGGTGATGTATATGAAATTACTTGATACGGACGTTGCTGGCTCAATAAAAACTTTGACCCTGAACATCAAAGAAGAATGAAATTATCATGTAGAAGACAAAAACAGGTTTTGGTAGTTTATGCTTTTAAGAGATTACCAGTGTTCATCTTCGCTTAGAATTTATTTCTCTTCTAATGTCAGAAGGTATGGGCTGTATTTTGAAACAATAAATTAGAATACTATGGTGGACCTGGAATTGACTTTTAGAAGCACTCTGAGGTACTTATATGGAAATGCATTGGAAGTAAATGCTAAGCAAGCTGGGCTAGAGGAGAAGTGAACCCCCCCCCCCAGTCCTTTTGACAGCC